TGAGCGAGTTCTTTCTTCAAACCAGTTACAGGTAATACATTGCAGATTTTATGCTAGCTGGCTTTATAAAGAAAACTAATATTAACTTTATGTAGTCTTAGCCATCCAATAATTCAATGCACTTAGATTTAACTCAAGAGGTAATGTGGGAAAATCCTTGGTACTTGCAATGATTGCTATTCATTATTTATAAGGCCGAGTCTCCTATCCCATTGCGTGACCTCCATTTTGGAAAACTTACCTTATTGCTTTAGTTTATAATAATCTTGAACGTTCTTTAATAAATAAAAAATAAAATAAAAAATCTTGGAACATATATTCTGCTCTATAATGATTTTGTCTTGATTGCATTCCCATCTACTCTTATACACTTTACTATTCATAATAACAATAGATTCTTCAATGACAAGTTATCTCCTATAACTCTTTGTTGTGATAAACTGAGGGAGTATTTGCAGTGGTAAGTGTTCGAACTAATTTGGGATAGAGGGAGTAATTAACATAAATCTTGTTAATGAGAAGAATTTTGTGTTCAAATAAAATTGGTGTGCCTTTGTATATCACTTAAATTTCAAGCAAGTTTTCACGGTTTCTCTGATCTGTCCAGAACCATGGGAGATTGGGAGTAACGCTAATGGATTGAATAGGGGATAGGGATACACGATAGGAATGACAATACTAGACTACTAGCGGAGAGGGAAAAAAATAAATTGAGACCACACTTGGAATGGGGGTAATATATTAAGGGGTAATAAAAATCAAACTTGAAAAACATAAGTAATTAGAGGTGGTGGTATAGCAGGTAAGGTGTTTACAAATGAAGTAAGGTAGTTGTGCCATGAGGAAAGGAGAGAGATAGAGGAATTATTACCCTCACAATGAGGGTAATAGTTACCCCACCCTCCCCCTAGTGTAACTATTATTTCTCCTTTCTTCACTTCATACCACACCATCACTAATAATATTCCTTACAGTCACACCATTACTATCTCGTCCTTCCCTATATTCACTTTTATTTTGCTTAGTCTGACTTTTATTACCCTAATAATACATTTTCCTCAAACCAAGCATGCTTGGAAAAAAAATGGTGTCTTGCAGCTTTGTACCATTGGATGTTGGGTCTGGAACTTGCTTTACTTTTGGTTAATTTCCAGCTTGGAAGCAAGCAGTGGCAATTGTCTGGCAGCGGAATGGTTAGCAATTATATATATGGATTGATAAGGGGGTGGGGGTGGGGACAGAGGTAGATTGGATTATCTTGTGGTAAGACATTTTATTTTGATTGTTAAATAATGATTTGAGTACAATAATATGCATCTGTTTGTTGTAATTTAGTCCTTTTCGTCTGTCCAATCCAATAACTAACCTCCTCATATATTGATTGTTCAACTCAAGCATTGTTTGGATTTTGTGCTCATGTGCTGCTCTGTTGTTAGAGAAAGAAGATGGAGTGAGCATCTTCAGCTGTTCGATTATGCCTTATTGTATTAGCAATCTTCAACCAAAGTATACCAATAGGCATTATCTTCAGCTGTTCGATTATACCTTACTTTGGTTGGTGTACTTTATGCATTATGCCTGAATTAAAAAAAAAAAGGAGTCTTTACTACCAAATGCCCATCCGAGACACTGGCAATTGATTGTTACAAATGACTGTTAGAAAGTCGTGTAAATAGAATCCTAGAGGGGAATCATGCTGTTAAGTGGAGAAGAAACTATAAAGCATTGCAGCTTTAACTGAATAGAAACCATGAAGTATGGGAATAATCGGAATATATATTGTCTTCTGTCAGCAGTGACCTTCTGGTATGCTGGTTCTGGTGGAAGCATATGGTCTGCTTCTTTGCATATGTTTGTAAGGCTTATTGTTGAGATACAACTTGGTTTCTATAATTTATATATTGGTTCATTGAAAATGCTGTCATCTTTTATGGCAATTATGAAGGTAAAAAGAAACCTTAATTCTGATCAAGCACTGCATTGCTAGAACGTGCCACTTTATCTTGTTTAGCCTTGAAATTATGGTGTGCTCAATTTTTACGTTGCATTGTGAACTGTATACATTTGATTTGCCGAAAATACTTTTTTGCTCTATTATCAGCTTCTTTTGAATTTGGAGTTTATTCTTTCTGCTGTCTTGGACTCTTGGCTTGTGATATCTACAGGAACAGAAGCTCCAGGGTGAATTTGATAACCTTAATGCTCAGCTCAGGGATATAAACGATTTTATTATATCCCGAAAAGCTAAATTAGCAGCGCTTGAAAGCAACATTAATCAGTCATATCATCTCCAAGGGGCAAAGAGACAAGCTACAAGATGAGCGGAAGTGAGTTCTGGTCCCTTGCCCTAAAGTCTCCTTGTTTTCGAGTGTTTTTTCAGGGTGAGGGCCCTGAGGTGTAGGTATTTATCTATAATATTATGTAATTAGATTGAATGGAGGCCATATGGCAGGCAAAAAAGGCAAGCCTTGTGTGTCTTTAATAACGTCTTGGATGTACCTGCAAGCTTACGCTTACCTAGACAGCAGACTTTGGGACATGGACTTATTTTTGATTGCAGGTTGCTCTGTTCTGTTTTCATAAACTTACCTCTTAAATACTCTCCTAGGTTTGGATGAGTCAATGATGATGGTGCAAGCTTTGCTTGAAGTTGCTTCACACTCAGAGTTTGATATCGCTTCAATGACATTTAACTTCTGGCACAATCTACAGGTTTACTTGATCGAAAGGTGGATCTCTTGCATCAAATACTTACATTATAGTTCTTTTTCTTTTGGGTTGTATTTAAGAGATGCTTCTCTTAAAATGTTGTATATACCAGGGACCTATGTCTCTTTTTGAATAATGAAGCATACAGTAAGGCAGAGAGGAACAGGAGATTGCTAATTTTCCATACATCATATGACTATATGAGTCTCCGCCTATCTGGTGTTCTTGCTAAGTTTTGGTGCGAGGCAATAAATTTTTGAAAATGTTGGATTATTTGTTATGGATTGTCTTGGAATGCTTTATATTACCTCCGTTAATAGTTATGTGTAACTTTTGCTATTTTTGTCCGCTCGGGGTTATGTGCAACTTTTCATTTTCTTTCTATTTTTAGTAAAAAAAAATAAGGGCGAAATTACAATTTTGCCCTTACTTAATTTTTTTTTAAATCAATACCCTTATTATAACCTAATCTAATTTAACCTAACTAATCAGATTCACCTAATCTAATTATTCCCTCCTTTTATCTTCCAATTCCCCCCTTCTCTCTTCATTTACTCACATTCCCAACCACCAAAATTTATTTCTGATGCTTCGTTCTCTCTATATCTTCTGGAGAGTTCATAAGATATACCCTAGTAATTTGTGATGTCTTGATAGAAAAGGTTGAATATTTGAACAAATTTCTACAGATTTATACTTGTTCCATTTTTTTAGTTGATACCATTTGACTTTTACACTATCAAACACTACATTTTGACTTGCTTTTGTGATTATTAGATACGATAAAAAGTTACAAGAGATCTTGTTTGAATTGTCTTAATGTATATTTTGGCCTTGTTTGGTAAAAAGCTTTTTGAAAAGCTCTTATCTTATTGAAAACTATCTCTAATTTTGACCATTTTAAAAAGTTAATTGTGGCATTTAATAAATAACTAATTAAAGGCAACCCGGGAGAGGCTGCTGCATGGAGGGATGATTAGAGGACACGGGGGAGAGTTATTTGAACTCATTGCTATGAATTGTGAAGGAAATGTGTCTTCATCAAGTGCAATTACTAGATATATTAATGGATCAAACAATGGAGATAATTAATTCATTATTGTGAGTCGTAATTATCTGTTGCTAGACGTGATCAATAATATTTAGAATAAGGATTTGGTGGTAAAAGTAAAAAAAAAAATATTATGCAATGAACATAATTTATGTATACCGACCATAATTTGAAGACAAAATTCAATGAATATTTCACAATAAGCAATGAATATTATGTTACAAATAAAAGTACATTACACTGGCAATGAAAGAAGATAGACATATGTTTTTTTCACTCTTTTTTGGTGCAAATATGTTTCTTTTCACTCTAGGTATATCTTCATTATATTTTGATAGTATGTTCTTTTCACTATAAATATATGTCCATTACTTTTCTATATCATGTGCTTTCCTTCAAACAACTGTACAATGCACCGTACAGGCGTTTGTAGGAACTAACGATTGCTAAACTGAAACAATTTGGTTAGTCTAAATTGGATTTTAAGATGACTAAAAAATATCATTATTCTTTGCTTTCTCATCAATCTTGTTTGAAGCAGAATCTATTACTGGGTTTTCATCTTGATGTGGAGCAAATTTCCATATTTTCATTATAATTTTAACCTTAATAAAGTGAAGGTGTTGCCTACTATTCTTCAATTGAGAAATTTTAAGGTATATTGATACTTTTATAATTGAATTTTGAGCATTTCAGAAGATGGGTAATTTGGCTGTAGTTGCTACGTAGTACTTTGTTAGTAGTTGCTGCATTTTTGTGTTGTGGGTAGGTTGTGAGCAGTAGATTAGAAATGGTGCAAATATAACCGAATAAGTTTTCTTTTTTTTTTTTTTTTTTTTTTTTTTTTTTTTTTTTTTTTTTTTTTTGACAAGAAAACAATTGAGATATTGATATAGAATCATGGAAGAAAAAACTGGAATGAACAACCATTGAATTGCTTATGGTATGGAATGTTGAAGGAAAAATCTATTGGAAAGGGCAAGGGGCTTCAAGGCCATGAGAACTTCTCTCATCTAAATTTCTCTCTATATTAATGTTAATACAGAGTAATTATTACTAAGATGATAATAGTAACCAAGTTCTTGCAGAAGAGCGAACTACTATGCTATGAACTTATGAAGGGATAAGAAATTGAATACTAGTTAAATAATGAAAAATAGGTGAATAATGTTACTATTGTAAAAATTACTCTATTTTTTTTTTTCCATTGAATCCAACAAGAAATCATCACATGACTATATTTTTCCAAGTATAAATCATTCCATTGAGTCAAAGTGGAAGTGTCAATAGTGCAAACATCGAACCATTGCAACGACGAAATAAGAACGTAAAACATAACTATGATTCACTCTTTACTATAGCAGAGGAGCATGGCTAAAGAGAACAAAGTACAAAAAGTTCACATCTTTACTATAGCAGAGGAGCATGGCTAAAGAGAACAAAGTACAAAAAGTTCACATATACCCTTTTGTTCCCAAAAGGGCTTACCCATTTACATAGTCTATTATAATAGTGACAAATATAACAAACCCCTCACACAATGTTTAGGACAAAGAGTGCAAAAGCATGATATTGGAAATTACTGGTTTTATGCAATCAGGACCCAACAGTCCTGACGATGATCTTATGCATTGTTTTCTTTAGCAACATGATATCTCTTCTTGGCTTTACACCCAGCAAGCCGAGGTGGCTTTATCAACCTTGACCATCTTTCTGAAGGTAGTTTCCAACCTAGCTTAGGAGTTCCCTCAGCTCCCTTGACAATTATGTACCATGGACTGCAGTAACAGGTCTCGATAACAATTTCAAATCCACAACAAGGGCACTTCACAGTAAATCTCCATACCTGATCAAAGTAGACTATAAGCAAAACTCAAATAAATGGTCACACAAAAAAATCACGAAGATCAATACAAAATGCAATATAAGAGTCAACTCTTTCTCGCTCATAATTCAACTTCACACCCGCGGCAATAACAGAGGTACATCCTTTGCACTTCATATTATACGGTAGAGTTAACCTAAATGGTGGAAAGGGAGGAAATCAATTGATAATTGAAAGGGTCAAAAGTTGCTGCTGTAATAAAACATCTGAGCTTAAAACCTAAATCAACATTATAATCCCAGAAACAACCAACCAAAAACTAAAGAACTAACTAATGGTTTTGACGACAAATAACACGAGCTCAAGGTAGAACACAAGAGAAGATGCAAGAGTTAGTGTCATGAATAAAGAGAAGACATAATGTAACATTAGGTTGCTTTAGTTGTCAAACATAGGAACAGAGTCTAAAAGATGAATTAGGGGTCTAGTTTCCAATCAAAAATGTGCATTGCATTTTAGGTGATTAGAGGCAAACGTCTACATAATGAAACTATCTAGTTAAAACTAGCTTACTAGTTGTGTCTTACTTATGTAACATACGAGCAGATATAATAAAAAGTTGGAGTCTATCAATGCATAATGGCATAGGGTAGAACTTACAGTATTGTAACATATATACAAGTTCCACTTTGTTTGGATAGAAAGAAATGGAAGGAAAAGAAGAGAAGAGAAAAGGAGGGGGACAAATTCTCTTGTTTGGGTAAAGGATTGGGGGAAGGGAGGGAGCCATTTTCCCTCTCTTTAATAAGCATAATCCCTCCAAAATTGGAGAGATTTGGAGAGAAAATAGAGCTCACCTCCCTCTTCCTATCTTTTCCATTCCCTTCCTCCATTTTCTCTCCCCTTCCTTTCCTTCCTTCTTTGCTACCCAAACAAAGCGAAAAGAATAAAAATAATATCATTATTGCATTTTTGATGTGTCTTTGTTTGGATAACTATGTAGGAGGGAAAGGAAACAGAGGAAAAACAAAGGGGGGGGGGGAAGAGGAATTAATGGTGTGTTTGGATATAAGGAAAAAAAAGGAAGGGAAAGGAAATGGAGAGATGAGGTATCTTTCATTTGAATAACAAATGAGGAAGGAAGGAAATTGGAGGGGAGAGAAATAGAGGGATTAAATTGTAGGAAATTGATCCCTCCAACAATGGAGAGATTTGGAAGGAAAACTCACCATTCTTCCCTCCCCTCCCTTTCTTTTCCTTCCCCTTTCTTTATCCAAACATATTGTAAGTATCTTTCATTTGGATAGCAATTGAGTAAGGAAGGAGATTGAAGGAAAAAGAAGTTGATGGATTAAATTCTAAAAAATTTACGGTGTGTTCGGATTGAAGGAAATGGAGGGAAAGGAAGGGAAGGGAAGGGAAATGGAGAGATTGAGTTTTTTTTTTTTCATTTGGATAACAAATGAGAAAGGAATGGAATTGGAGGGGAGAGATATGGAGGGATTAAATTGTATGAAATTGATCCTTCCAACAATGAAGAGATTTGGAAGTAAAACTCACCATTCTTCCTTTCCCTCCCCTCCTCTTCTCCTCCCCTTTCTTTTCTTTCCCTTTTCTATAACCAAACACTTAATCTCTCCAACAATTGAAAGATTTGGAAGGCAAACTAATCATTCTTCACTATCCAACACACTGTAAAAAGGAGAAATATGAATCCTCACATTTCCCTTCCCTTCCCTTCCTACCTATGAAATCCAAACAGAGGACTGATCCCTACATTTAAATTTCACCGATAATAATAAAAGGGCCTATCACATTGAAATCCTAAACCTAGCATAACCTATGATAGTATCTATCATATTAGAATTTTAAGTCATTCAGTCAAACAAACACAAGGGTTGAGACATACAATTCACCAATCGCAGGTCCAGCTGAAAGTTTCCGCTTCAGCTCGGCTCTTTGCATAGCCCGAGTATATGTGTCCATAGATCCACCCGAAGATTCACTCTGCACAAAACCAAAATCCAGAGTAAAGAGATTTGATTTCATATTGAATTATCTCGAAAAATACATAATTTTAGGGATATTTGATTCAATAATCAAAGAACCCTCATAAATTTCTTATCTTTTGGATATGATGTTTCATAATTTAAGAATTTACGAACCCTAAACTTAAAGCACTGATAATTAAATTAAAATATAAACCCTAGATTGTGAAATTGATGTGATGATGACAACAACAAACAAGTTACCTTAGAAGCTGCTTCAATGGGGGATACAAGGATAAGATTCAATGGAGAACGTTGAGTACGCTTCAATGGAGAACGTTGAGTGCGCTTCAACGAATAACTGAGAGTCTGAGAGAGGTAGGAAATAAGAACGGAGGCCTTTGAAACCCATGACCCGCCGTATGGGTTAGATCCGTCTTATAAATAAATCGGCGGGGTCTTTATATCATCAATAATCATCAATCAATAAATATAAAAAGTTGACTTAAATATTTTTTATTTTTTATTTTTTTTGACAAGAAAATATTTTTTACCTTGGTGTGTCTTTTAATAATTTTTTTTATTTCCTTTTAAAAACTCTTTTATAAGCAAAGTTTAAAGAGGTTAAAAAAAAAAAACTTAAATATAAATAACAACCTGAATTGTAATAAATTAATTATTGTTCAAATCTTTAACTATAGAAAAAATAAGGAAAAATACACTTTAATTATCCCAACTTTGCCCAATTTTAGGGGTGAAAGTGGTTTGGACAAAAACTGAAAACCGATCCAAACTAAACCGAATTATTCGGTTTTTTCGGTTTTCGGTTTGGATTCGGTTCCAAAAAACTGAAACCGAATTATTTCAGTTTGGGGTCCCAAAAAACCGAAAACCGAAATCCAAACCGAAATGTTTAAGCCCATAGATTTCCAGCCCAATTCCCCTACTTATATATAGTAAAACCCTAATATTCCTCCATCTAATATGACTTGCGCCCAACATCTCCACCTTCATTCCTTAGTTCCTCACCAAAACCCTTATTCTCCTTCATCACTCCTCACCTCACTCCGGCCACCGTCTCCGTATCTCACCACCACCAGGGTCGTCTTAAATATTTTAGTTGCCCTGTTCTAATCTTAAAAATGGGCCCTAATGTAAAAAAAAAATAAAAAATGTAGGTTTAATGATTACAAATCTTTCTTATCACCATAATACCAGAAAAAAAAAAGCAAATATAAAATAAATTAAACTTTTTTTTTTGAAAAGATAAATTAAACTCTTTTATTTGATTGTTAAATTGCATCTCCATAAAAAATTCAAATGAAAATCCCTGTCAAAAAAGAGCTATAACATTTTTTTTTTTGACACAAGCTATAACACTTTTTTGAAGCAAATTCATCCACCAATCTTCATACGGAGTACTCCGTATTATATAGGCTACAATACAAGAAATTGCACTAATTAAAAAAAAAATCTGATTTATTAAATTGACACATTTACTAAAAAAATAATTTGTGGGAATTATTGAGTAATTAAAGGGATTTTTTTTAATGGAGAAATTAAAGAAAGTTAAAGATTTGGATTTTGAAATATGGAAAACTAAATCTTTTCGTTAAAAACTAGGAAGTTAATTACTTCCCTTTCCCAAAAAAAAAAGGAAGGAAGTTAATTAGAGTTTCAATTTTATTATTGTACATCTGTACATTATTAGGAGCTGTTGACTGCAATAAAGGGAAGAGAGAAGTTTCATGGGTTCTAATTTTAATATTAAAAAGGAAAATTTTTAAATTACCACCCAATTATGTATTCATTTTTAAAATAACCACCCGTTTAATTTTTTATTTTATTTTACCACCTCTTAAATTAAAAAACTACTCAAATTACCACCCATTGCAAAATTTTGGTGGATTTCTGACATGTGGACCTACCCAATGGCTAGTAACGACTATGTCTAAGCATTACAATCAACCATGTCTTCACTCCACCTCCCCTTTAAACCAGTTTATTAAGTACAAGACAACCTAAAACCTAAAGAAAACAAATAAAAAAACCAAGAGCTTGTTATCTGAATTGCCACTACTACTGATTATCTTCTTCCTGTTACCATTAAGAGTCATTAGGTGGGGCCCACATAAGAGAAATCCACAGGAATTTTAAAATGGGTGGTAAGCTGAGTAGTTTTTGAATTTAAGCGGTGGTAAAATAAAAATAAAAATTTAACGGGTAGTTATTTTGAAAATGGATACATGTTTGGGTGGTAATTTAAAAATTAACCTATTAAAAAAAAAATTGGCCCTTTTGTGTTTGGGGCCCTGTGCAGTAGGCCTGGTTGCGGCCCTGACCACCACCTTCCTTCAGTACTCCACTACCCCCTCAGATCCAGTGTTTGTACTCCCTCAGAAACCCTAAGTATCTAAATGCCCCTTTCTCTTTCATCCGCCTTCTTACAATCTTTTCTCATCTGTGTTCTTTCTTGTCTCATCTCATCCTCTCTCATGGCTCAAGAATTTGGTTTTCACACCACAGATGATGTAAATGCAAGCTAGAGGTGAATGACAACAAGGAATGTCACAAATAGTTTATGTAATTTCTTGGTTTCATTTATTTTCTTTCACGGTATATTCATATGCTTTTAATGAATGTAAATTTATTTAATTCTATTATTTTGGGTAATTTGAAGAAGGATCTAAAGACTGAATTAGATCTTATCTTTTTGTCATTACAATTATAAATTTTGCTTAATAATATCGCAGATCTAAAATAAAAAAACAAGTAAAATTTCGGTGTATGGATTGGATTCGGTTTATACATTTGAAAATCGGTTCGGTTGGGATTGGACCGAAATTCAATTCGGTGTGGATTTGGATTGAAAAAAGAAAAAACCGAATTATTTCGGTTCTGTTTCGGTTTGGGACATAATCCAAACCGAAAACCGAACTTTTACACCTACCCAATTTACTTTAAATAATACAATCCCAACTTTCGTTTATTCTGCAATGATCCCAACTTTCATATTTTTTTCTTCAATCCCATTTACCGTTAACCTTGAGAAAGGGTTAGTTTTTTGTTAGAAAAATATAAATGTCACGTATCACTTGTTTATTGGTTCATAAAAAATTAATAAGTTTTTTTAAAAAAAGAAAATTAAAAAAAATATCAAATCCCAAACTGCCATGACCACCACCGCCCACCGGTGGCCACAACCTCCCCACCCATCCCTATTTCCGACTCTGATTTCCGTTTTTCGGCACCCACCACCAACTTTCGATACCTCCACGGCTCCACCCCGATTAACATAGCCCTGAAACCGTAAGAAATGTTGGGACTTGGGAGCTTTGGACGGATTCGAATTTCAAAGATGGGGAGAATGAAGAAAGTCGGTTTCGATGGTGTGGGAATTGAGGGGGCGCTGATTTCAACGGTGTGGGAAGGGAGAAGGTCGGTGTTCTGGGTTTAGGGAAGGGAGAAGTTCGATTTTGAGTTTAGGGAAGGGAGGAACGACCAGTTTCGGTGGTGTGGGAGGGAGGGGGCGCCTTTTTCCGAGGTGGGTTTGGGTTGGAGGGACCGATTTTCGGTGTTATGGTGGTTGGGCTAGGGGCGAGGAGGTGGTGGTTCGGGGGTAGGCTGGGAAGAAAGGCCACCGTTGGTGGCTCATAGACGTGGTGGCTGGTTGAATTGTTTTGGATTTTTTGATTTTTTTTCTTTTAATTTTTTTTTTAAAATTTATAAACCAATCGCACGTGTTGGGTAACCTAGAATAATGGGTTGTTGACTTTTGTTGACCGGTTTGGGATTGAAGAAAGAAAATGCATATGAAAGTTGGGATCATTGCAGAATAATCAAAAGTTGGGATTATTTCTATTCAAAAGAAAAAGTTGGGATTATTTAAAGTAAATTGGGCAAAGTTGGGATTATTAAAGTGTATTTTTCCGAAAAATAAAAAACAATCACATCTTTAGGAAAATATCATATAGATTATCAACATAAGATTTTTAACAATAATTATCCATTTGTTAACAAAATTTCCTCCTAATCTTTTTTTTTTTTTTTTTTTTTTTTTTTTTTTTTTTTGGTGACAAGTTATTTTGTTTTTCCCAGAGAATATTTAATATGGAGTATTATACTGTAATTAATCCCTTCCTATGAAGTAAGTACATTTAATTTTATTTGTACACATTCCACAAATATATTACTCTTTTATTTAATACAAGTACTATATAATACAATAATAATTTTCTATATATAACTTTTTTATGTGTGTAATTCATAATTATTTTTATTATTTGTGTATGTAATACTCCTTAAGTTTAAGTGTATTTATTAGTATGATATAATTTTCTTTTTATTTTGTAATTACAAAACTTTTATTTTATTTTGCAATTACATTTAATTTTTTTTAATTAGACACAATATTAAACTAATGATAAATGGTAGAGGTGCATAGCACGGAATCTAACCTAGTGATCGACTAATTATGAGACAGGTGAACTTTAAAGGTTTTAAGTAAACATGTTTTAAATGTTTTTAAATATTTCCATACATCAAATATCAATTCTTTGTAAGTCTTTTATATTTTTTTTTTAATAAAAAAAACAACTAAAAAATACTTTTAAATATTATATCTCTCTCCTCTCACGGTCCTCACTCAAACCCACTATTACTTTTTTATTATATATTTTCACTCACATTCATTATTTTTTAATAAATTATTAACCCCACTATCTTTCTTTTACAATTTTTTAATACTCCAATGACAGGGTAAAGTCGTATCCCCTAATCAAAAGTAATAACTAAATCCTCTAACTAATGTAGATAGGGAACTAGGATCGAATCCACAGAGAAACGAGTCTTTCTATTCCTAATTAAATAAAGTAATCCAAATTATAAAGTAACCAATATGTAAACTTGGATATGAAACTAAACTACGAAGATTAAGAATAAGGAGAAAACAATGAATAAAAGGATCTAGGGCATAGGTTCATCAATAAAAAATATTCCAGGGTAAAACACAATAATCATTCATCAATGCATACATTAATCAGATCATAAGGGGCTTTCGCTACGTATTACAATCACACAATTAATTCACCGGTATTAAATCTCATCTTTCGAATCTCGACTTAACCATTTATAAATTAACCTGCCTATTGAAACTAGACCTAAACATTAATTCTCATCTTTCGAATCTTGAATCAATATTGTTAAACTCATGCATAAAAGATCTGCGCAAATCTAGTCACAGAGCATTAAATCAATTAATAGGAAATTAATCTAGCATTGACAACTAACAACCATAAATTACCCCTTCATATTACTTATGGATCCCCATAAACCCTAGAAATAGAACTACTCACACATAATAAAAACTAAACTAATCAAAGCAATAAAACAAGACATGATCAAAGGAATAAAATAAACAACTAAGATTAAGAGAAGAGAAATTGTTACCAAATAAATCTGGAATTAAGAATAGAGTTAAGCACAAAGTATAAGAGAGAAAACTAATCTAAAAGCTAAGTAAAGAGAGAAAATCTAAGAAATAATTAATAAAGAGTAAAAGAAGGTAAAGAAAGGTACTAAACTCGTTTTACGGAGAAGTATTTATACTCCGTAAGAATCCTAAACTAAAACATACTTAAACGTCGAATAATTAACATCTAACGATAACACGCGCCTGATCGG